AATGTTTTCTCTAGCGGCTCCGAACTGCCCTCAGCATAGTAAGAAAATAAAAATAAATAAAACGTCTTTATAGCTCAAATTATATGTGTTGATAGCTTAAACATAGGTAAATCAGTTGTGGGATTTTCAGTTTCCAACGGCCTTTCGTCAGGTCGTGAGCGATCATCAAATATGCTTCATTTTCCACCCATTTGGAAGACCGCCAGACGCCAACGTACGGGAATTTCAACTTTTCTCAATTTCGCCAAAAATAAAAATCGGCCAAACTTTTTAATGCTATTTTCGAAAATAGTTTACCATAAGGGTCTTTTGGGCAAAGTATGGAGAAATTGAATTTTTCACAGTTGTCCGACCATTCTYGATTTTTACAGACAGTCGCTCTTAAGCATATTAGCCTACGAATCCTGATAAGAACTGGAAATACTGGAAACACTGGTCCATATAATTCAGACTAGTACAATTAAATCCGACCTTTGGGGTCAGGATACTAATCATTAGGGTTTTGCCACTCAGAGTCCCGGCGGTTAGGTGCTACAGCAAGGATCTCCTAACGGTTAGGTAACAGCCGGGATCCTAACCAACACTTCACACAATGATTAGGAGATTTAGCGAGAAAGACCTTTTCATTAGGTACGCGATGGCTAAATTCCTAACAGAAAGGGGTTTATAAACACATGGTATCCCGCTACTGGTGATTTTTTTAGATGCTTCTCAGATGCTGACGTAAGCAACTCGCCAGACTTTGTAAAAGCTGTCCTAAAATAGTGCAAGGTTGTTTCTGCTAAAAGCAAAGCATACTCAGCCGTATTTGGAAGCCTGGCCCAATTAAATCAATGCCCTGAAGAAAGTGACATTGAAAGTAGAAGTCCAAGTGAGTATTATATTGTCCCCTTCTATTTATAGAATTAACTAAGGCATGTCTTATCGCTGTTCTACAATGTTTTTATTTCTATGAGTGGTTTCTTTCATTTCAATGCATGATTTTATCATTATTACTCAGGTCCAACGTTTTCCATGGCCTTCGACATAGCAGAGGAAAAGGAAATGGAGGACGAAAAATTGTCGCAACTGTCCCCTCTATCCAGCCCCATCTTATCATCGACTCCACTGAGGCACTCGACCAGTACTTCAACGAATTCTCTTCCTAATGCGTCTAGTCAAGAAGCGAGTCAACAAGGTAAATAAATAAGCAAAGTAGTATAGGGGATGGGGGTATCAGCGCAGTGAGAATTCAAGGATCACCCACGAATTGAGACCAGCATAAACGCCTGTCCCACTACGACGCTACGACACCCGCATCAAAAGGCAACGAACAAGGATAGTCCGTTGGGGGTTTTGGAGCATAATTGTGTAGTTTGTATATATGGAGTGTGAAGAATGCAAAGAGTTTGCTTATGACTTTTGTGTAAAGTGCTTGAAACCCAAGTTTAAGCCTAGTAAGCCAAATAAGTATATTTGTTGTGGCAAAAAAAAAACAAATAGAAGATGACAGGTCAGCACAGTGTTACGAGTGTGGTAAAAATATCCTTAATGCCGTACCAAATGCCACCAGAGAGCAATATTACGCCAATGGAGGTCGTAAGAAAACACCTTATAAGAGAATAAAATACTTTAGGGACTGGATGAGTCACATCCAAGGTCTTCGACCGGTATATTTAGACAACGAAGTAATGGAAATGATTGCACTTGACTTAAAAGAGCCAACGCCGCAAAGCTTAAGGAAGACATTGTAAAAATCGAAGCTAGGGAAATATTACAAAGGTATTCCCTATCTTTTGTCTGAAATTACCGGTGACCCTACTCCCGAGGTTTTTTTTTACAGGGATTGGTTGGACAAGAACTACCAAGACAAAATGCTGGCAGACAAGAACTTTGAAAATACGGACTACGCCTTTAAACTTTATGCGCAGACGCATCCCGACTTTAGAATGAGAAAGCCTCAATTTAAGAATTACTACCAGCCTTCTAAGAAGCAAAAAGACAATGAGCTGGTATTTGTTGGTATCTCAGGGCTGTCTGGAGGTGTCGCTTTGGCGTATTCAATTTAGCATAGAATATATGATCGTCTTTTTGGAAAGCGACAAGAATAACTTTACCTCTTATTTGAATCCCCCCATCAAAGCCCATAAGGTTAGGCTTGTAAGTTGCTCTTTGTACAATTCTTGGTATAACTTGATCAATGGTGTGGTCACTGAGCATACAGGAGGATCTAACTATCAACAGGTAATGCTGCCCAATGGACATTACACCCCAATCACACTGGCCAAGGAATTAGCAAAGCACGGTTATACTCTCACCACAGGATTGCCGCACGAAATGACTATCAAACATAATATGTCAAATTATTCAGTAACTTTTGGAAAGCTTGACGCATTGGGGTCTTTATTATGTGCCTCGTGTAAGACAATTACCAACACGGCCATACCCGTGAAATGGAAAGTCGCATCCTCTTAYGAAGTCTATTGCGACTTGGTCAATAGCTACAGCAATGGAAAAAACTCTTCTCTTATGTCAAAGTTTCCGCCCAAGGGCAATCCATTTGACCTGGTAGAATACACTCCCATTTCTTTGAGCTACGACTTGCCTTGCAAATTGGTAGAAAGCATAAACATCGCAATTAAAGTGGACGGAGAGATGGTAGACTTCAACAGGTGAAAAAACAATCTCGTCTTATCCTTCGCTTGAATCAAGCGAAGCGCGATTCTATTCATATAATGCCCCGCGTAGAGGACAAACTCAAGAGGATTTACTATGGGCCTGAAGGCTATTGGAGAGGAGTGTCAGCTATCAAGAAACTTGCAGCCRCGGCCAGGGTATCAGAAGAAACGGCTAAGAACTGGTTAAAAAAACAGACCCTCTGGCAGGTTTATCTTCCCGTGCCCAAGTACATTCCCAGACCAAGCTTTACCCTAAATGCCCCCAATGAAGTTCATCAGGCGGATTTGCTTTTCTTACCACACGACAAGGTGAGAAGAAAGACCTATAGATACGCTTTGACTGTAGTTGATATCGCAAGCAGATACAAGGACGCTGAACCCATAACCAGMAAGGATTCTGGGGAAGTCGCAGAAGCCCTAAGTAGGATTTATAAGCTCGTTTTGAAATGGCCTAAGCTGCTGCAAGTGGATGCGGGGACAGAGTTCATGGGCGTGGTTACCAAGACCCTGAAAGACCACAACACTAAGATTAGAAGAGCCGAAGCAGAGTACCACAGGGGTCAGAGCATCGTCAAAAGATTCAATAAGACCCTGGCCGAGCGTCTCTTTGGGTACCAGTATTGGAAAGAACTGGAAGATCCCTCCAAACGCAACAGGGAATGGACTCAGAGACTTCCCCAGGTCATCGCGGCTTTGAACAACGAAGTGGCCAGGGCTACGGGAATGAGACCTAAGGATGCTATAAAAAAGAAACACGTGGAACACAAGTCCTACGTCAGAAGTTCAAGGGCGGTCTTCCCCCAGGAAAGAAGAATAGGCGATGTCACGGTTCGATATCTCTATGAGCCAGGTGAATTAGAAGGAGGATCCAAAAGAGCTACGGATCCTAATTGGTCTTTGGAAACTTACCAGATCCAAAGCGCAATAGCTAAGAAGGGTCAACCCATCTTGTATTATCTTCATGATGGTCACACATGTGAGTTCGTCAAAGAAGAACTGCTTATCGTGTGATGTCCCAATGCTATCGTATGGATACCGTCATCACACATCCATCTCTTACCATCAAATGCAGACAGGGACACCTTCTCTTGCGTAACGTTGTGTATTTGATGTCCGTAGCTGCGTAGGCTGTTCATCTTATGCCGCTGTTCCTTGCGTGTTCGTAAGACGTTTATGTAGGACTCGTGGGTAATGTCCTTCTTTACGACGTACTTTTTTACGCCTTTGGCTTTCTTTTCTACGCCGTCTAACTTTAACACACTGTACATCTTTGGCTTTAAGCCCACGTATTCCACGATGGGCTTTCCAAGCATCTCGTCCTTCATCTTTAATATTACCTTTTTGTTTTTAGCGGAGTAAAGGAAGTGCTCTTTGGGGTAGCCGCTCGCGTCATACTTGTCAATGTCCACTAAGCAGTCCTGGTAAACGTCTTCCGTCTGCACTTCCAGTATCAAGGAATCAGTGTCCGTGTATAGCAGGCGGCACCGGTCTCCGTACTTCGGCTTAAGCTTGTCGTAGTAAAACTCGTACATTAAAAGTTTTGACAGGTCTAGTACGGTAAACCCGGTGTACACGGGCTTGYTAAGGTATAGGTTTGCTTTTTTCATGTGAATTACGTAGAAGTTAAGCAATTTGGCGTAGCGCACGAAACCCAGCTGCGACACGTAAGCCTCTGCTTCCTCTTTGGTGCTGGCTATCTTGATGCTTACCCGCTTGTGGATGTTTTCCATCGTCTTACCAAACACGGAGTTGTTCATTAGCTTAAATAGGTTCTTTTCGAAGTCTTTCTTAGCAGCCGTGCGCTTTTGAGTGTTAAAGTCAATGTAGGAGCGCATCCATGGCTCCTGCGTGAACTTTAGCACGCGCCTTATTTTCTTTATACGCATACCGTGCCGCATGTAGAATTGTAGGTTACGTTAGTGAACAACGTACTTCCTTTTGTCCATCAAGTTCATCGTTTGCTTGCGGTAGGGTTTGTAGTTGGGAGACATTTGCTTTCGTAGGGGGCTTAGCTGTCGAAATGGTATCTCTTTTCCTTCTGGTGCTAAGGGGAATTCGTCGTGTTCGTCGTGCAGGTGCTCCAGGTACTCTAGGTCCACCTCTAGGACGTTAACTTTGTCGGATTCCTGGTCTACGTTTAGGTAAAACTCTATGGGTTTTATGTCGTCCCATTCAAAATCTCTTATGGGTAGGTACTGTGACATTGCCCAACCGTAAAGGTTGTTTGGGTCTAGGTAATAGATGTATGTGGTTGGCTTTTGGGGGTCGTATTCTACTAAATGGTAGTTTGCTTACGCGTATCGCCTGCTAGGCCCGCATATGCCACCACGAATACCGTCTTCCATAAAGCGGTACATGTCGTATTCGGTTAGCAGGTCCAGCTGCGCGTTCGTCTTCTTCAGTAGGGCGCTCCAGCTAAGCCCTGGCGCCGTGTAGAAGTTCACGGGGTCCAACCTGTAGTACTCCATGGCCATCTTTCTAAAGCTTTGGAAAACATCGGCCAGCAGTACAACGTCTGATCTCAAATAGATATCGTGGTAGTCTCCCATCATTTGGCAGTCGTACTTCTGCCAAACGTCTAAGGCGTGCTGGTACTCTTCGTCCTTTATTCCGGACTCGGTTAGGGTGCTGTAGAAGTCTTCCTTGGCTGGTAAGGGCTCCTCAAACTTGTCCCAAGAGCTCATGTACTCGTATGGGTACACTCCCTTTCTTTCTGCTCCATATTGGCTGGATATGGGAAACTCCGTATTGTATTTCACGAGGTTCGCAAGGGAGTCCGCCATGAATTGTCGTGAATCTATGAACTTTAGCTTGCCTACCGTTACGGACATGTACCGCTCTTTGTTGTTGGGTATACACTTTACCTCGGAACCGTCTTTTCCTTGTAGGAGTAAATGGGAGTCGTACCCGCGGAGGTTGTGAAAGAATACTGGAATCTCCATATCGGGGTCCATGCGCGTTACATCTCCAGTGCGCAGCGCCAACGTATTCACCTGTTACGTGGCAATAGTGTAACACTTTGTCCACGTAGAAGTCTTCTATAAGCTCTTTAAGGCAGTGTATGCAGTGGGTGGATGGCTTTCCAGGCTTCTCACCTTTCTTGTAGTACGTCCCGCACTTGAAGTGGGCTTCTCCCAAGTACTTCCCATCCTCGTCCCACGCTTTCTTCGCCTGTCTACCAAACTGCAATAGCGTTTGCTGGCAGCGCTTTGCTTTTTTGCGTACGCATCTCTGTTCTCCTTGCTAAGCTTCATCTTCTTTGCGTGCCTTAGGTTTTGTCTTATCTCCACTTCTTCTTCCCTTAGCGCTTCTAGAAACTTCTTTGACGCGTCCTTGCCTCTGTAAATGACTGGTTGGTCTGCCTTACCGTCTGAGCGCACTACTATGTAACCAAACGAGCAAATCTCATGCAGTCCTAGCTTGTTTGTTGCTCCATTCTTTTGTACTCCTTGGTAGTTATGGCTTCAAAGTCGGCGTAAATAATGTAAGGTACTCGCGCTTGCCTCTTATGGTCTGCGTAGCAAAGCTCCTCGTCAGTTGGCATCTGTATGCGCTGCGCTACCTCTTCTACGCCTCGGCAAATCTCGATGTGCTCCTTTAGGGACTTTACGCTGGTAAATGAAAGCAGGCAGCAGTCACAGAAGTACTTTCTACCCTTATGCTTGGTGTGTCTGTAAAACAGCCTACTCAAGTGCTTAACCCAAGAGTAATGTCCGCCATAGTAAAAGATGTGTACGCGCTCTTCTTTAGACTTTGTCAGCACTAAGGGCACTATCGTTTCGTCTCTTACACCGTAAACGTTAATCGCTAGGTCGTTCTCTTCTTCAAATATGGGGATGTCAATTAATTGCATTGGAAATTCTACTCCATCCCACTCAAGGTCGTCGTCGGGGTACTTAGTCATCCTGGAAGGATCTTTGTCTACGTGGTACAGCGCTGACCTCATTGCCCACATAAAGCATTTGTTGTCGTTGTTTTTGACGTTTACCATGCTTTCTTTCTTTCTATCCACGTTGGCAGTGCTACGTAACTTCCTCCTCGTATGGGAACGTACCTTTAAATCGTCGTAGTCGTACTTGCAATCCTGGCAGTGCCAAAACAACTTTACCTTCGTATCAAACTTCTTACCGCATTTACAATCATAACTGCTCATACATTTTGTCCTTTTCATATTTAAATGCTTCTTTAGATCGGCTTCTCTCTTAAAAGTTCTTTTACATTCTTCACACTCCATATATACAAACTACACAATTATGCTCCAAAACCCCCAACGGACTATCCTCGTTCGTTGCCTTTTGATGCGGGTGTCGTAGCGTCGTAGTGGGACAGGCGTTTATGCTRGTCTCACTTCGCGGGTGATCCTCGAATTCTCACTGCGCTGATACCCCCATCCCCTATACTACTAAGCCAAAATATATTTATGATATATATAATGTATATATATTGCTGATCGGTATATAGGTAAGAACTGTCTTGAGATATTGAAGTCATCAGCTTGATGCAGCTTATATCGGTCTTTCGTTGGATTGTAGGTGCAAGTGTGAGGAAAGCATAAAAGGACAAATTGGATAATCGGGGAAGACCTGCCTAAATTTACAGAAGAAGGATGGTCGCCACTATTTCGGTATACGGTTACTTTAATGAGGAATGTTTTAGAAAACCACTGTGGAAAAGCAGAACGCTGGACACAGAGTGCGTTTAGCTATCAAAAAGGCTACTTCAATCGCGTTTTCAACCTTCACGGAACATCGGTAACTTAATGAATTATTCAAAAAGTAACCGTATTTTACACCCAGTTTTGTTATATCTGAAACTCCGAATTTTTTGTCTCTGATTTTCAGACTGGCAGTGGAAACATTTTTTTATTTTACAAGGKGTCAGAACTATCTGATAGGTGTTGGGAAATGGCCAACAGAATAATGGATAAGATAGAAAATTGTGAACTAGAGCCAAAAAGGAAGAAAAACATCGTGAAATGCAATGTGCTGCAGACATCATTCAAATGTATAAGTGGGAAAGACCCAATCAAAAACGAAGCAGCAATATTTGAAATCCTGCAAAAATATAACAACGGTACGTTAGCAGAAGAAGAGGGTATAAACAAGGCAAAAAAAAATCAAGAAAGTCAGAAAAGGCCACTGCAGGTGTAAGTACAAAAAACTATTTTTTGCCATGTTTTGGCATTCAGCGGAATAGACTTACCTTCTCAGCTTGAGCGTTCTCTTTCCCCTTTCAGACCATGCCTGTAGTTTCTCGGAGTATGAAATTCTTGGTTTGAATTGTATCCATTATATTTATTCATGTCTTCTCATGCGCAATGTTAATGGTGGGAAATGATATGTGGGTCTGAAATGGGAAAACCTTAAGCCCAGGCCGAGGCCGTTCAATTCTACAGCTCATGCAGTTGAAATGCTTATATTTGAAGATACTGAAGTAGTTCATTTGGCCATTTTTCGTTCATTGACTTTTTACACATAGGATATATCAACAGCGGAGATAGAAGAGTTGAAGAAGAAATTGGAGATGGCCATCGAAGCCAAACACATTGCGGTTATTGTAAGTTGGTTCAATTGTGATGATGTTCTCTCCGTCTTTTACCTTATAAATAAGCATATTTATTTTTCTTCTTATCAATTGTTATATGGGAAAATAAGAATGTGAAAAGAATTGGCTAGGTTAAACAACGATTTTGCAAGAAAGAAGAAGGTAAACCAATACATTCTCGTCTGATGTTTTTCCCTTTTTCCTTGTACACGATGATGACCATTCCATTTTTCTGTCACGGAATTTTTGCCCTCGCCTCACGGGTATTACTTTACTAGAAAACAATACAGTTGCAAGAGGATTTCAATAATCTGAAAGACAAAATCGAAAAACTTGAAAAGGTATGCCACTGTATACTAGCTACATTCCTTAAAAATTTCACACATTTCAGTCCCAGTTTCTAATTTCAATTAAACACTGAYATTTACTTTTTCTATTGCTAGGCTCTTGAAACGGAAAAAAAAAAGAATTCTTCTTAATTGGCTCTGTGTGTTAATGAAAAGGACGAGGCGAGTAATAAAAAGCAAGGAAATCGAAAAATCACTCGCTTCAGTTCTCACATTTGTTTCAAATTATCAAAACAGGAGATTCGACGTTTACGCGAAGAAGTGAGCAAAGCAAAAAAGGATATCATCAAGGTAAGAATACAGACACACATCAACTTGCTTAGCACAAGCAACATACGTTTTTGTAATTTTTTTGCTTCTCCAGCTTACTTCTCAAAACAAGACCAAGACTTCCGTCGAAAAACGTAAATAAGGTAAACAAAGGAAATACGCTACATGTTTATTCAGTTCGAGATTGAAGCCAATTGCTCAAACATCAAGAAAGACAGCACAAATTGATACTGTAAGCGATGTGATTTCTTTTCATGCACTGCCACACTGACATATGTTGATCTTTTATATTCGAAGGTGTTTCCTGCTAAGAGTAGCACCACTGAAAGGCGTGCGCTGAAGAAAAATGCCATCCAAGATAGCAACGACATCCAGTCCTTGGTATACATGAGTGCCATAATTTTTGTGGTTAGTCCGTCGATAGACGGCTAACCAATGTGCTATCGCGTAGCGTGAACCACTTCCCCTCCCCTGGTAGGGCGAATCATTTTTCGCATTTTATGCAGTAAGATTTTAATTTACTGAATTTATCAGTTCATTTAACTGTTAGAGCTTTCATTATACATCTCTAAACAGTGGAATAACAGCTTTCATGGCCGATCTTGACAGCGAAATTGCAAAAACAAAACGGCTGACCAATCTGTGCCGTGCTGCTGTGGGCCACTAGGCCTTCCCCCCTGGGGTTAATTGTTGGGATCGTGCCACAAATCATGCTTCCTGTCATCTATCCAGGTCATGTTCGGTCATAGATAGGTTCTTGCTATATATCTGGCAGATTTGAAACTGAACAACAAAGATCAATAAAAAACAGTTTTGTACTATATATAAAAACGAGCAGCAGTGTTTATTCAAATGTAGCAGTTTTTAATAAAACACATGGTTCGAATTTTTTACATGGCATTAAAAACCTCCAACACTAATAAAACCAAAATTTTAAATAAAACTATCGAAAATGTACAAAAATTGAAAGTTATGAAAACTGCCTTAGGCCATTCTGATCATCATGCGCATAATTTCTCATGTATGTAAACTGAGGATTTACGCTTCACTTTTGACAAATTTTTAAAGTTCATGGGAAATATCCTTTCTTGATTTTATATACAATTCATTTCCTTGGTCCGTTCTGCTCACATGGTTGACCTCATGAATTATTAATGACTTTGGAAGACTTTAATATCATCTATCCTATCCTCATACCGTCCACTTTACTTCTTTGGACTAACCACATGCGCTTCGTGAGCGCCTTTAATTTTACTTTCGTTATGAGTAGAAAAAAATGCTGTAAACCAAGCTCTAGAAAAGTCGCAAAGATAATAAATATGAGACTCTTCTATCTCAACACAGCAGAAAGAGTTACAAACTGGAGAACTCGAAAACAATGATAACGCAAGTTCATCAAGAAGCGAAAAACAAAAGGTTACCAAGAAAGCTTGTATTGCTATCAGTTTCTTGAAAAGTCGTCGTCGTCATCATCATCATCATCATCATCATCATTATTATTTTTATTATTATTTGTCTTTCGATACAGAAGTCTGCAGAACAAGACCAGTTAAAACTAGGTATTTATTTCCATCATAGTATATAACGAATGAGATTTTAATTGTTCAAAGTTAAGAGGCAGTATCAGTAAAAGCGGCCCACTGCATTTCGGGTCAGAAAATAGTTTCCCTCAAACTTTTACCACAGAAAGGTAATTACTAGTAAGTAATGAAAATGACTTTATTTTCTCGAAATTCATCAAAATAATTTTTTACAGCGCATAAATCCTGGACCACCGTTATCGCTAAATTTACATTGATTATCAATTGAAAATTGCCCATATTCAAGTCATCACTGCTGGCAAAATATAAAACGCTGGAACAAACTATTATTTTTCCTGACTTTTACATTCATTCTAGTGTCAAAAATAAGCAAAATTTTGAATGTTAAGCAAAACTAGGACAAAAAAGAGAAAAATAAGTATTCATACCCATTGGATGGCTTTTTAAAATCAAAACAAACCACCCCTCACTAAAAAGCTTTTTTCTCCCAAGTCCAGAACGGATTACTTAAGTTTTTTTCTTCAATCTACTGATTGAAGGTTGATAAAGGTGGATTCATAAAAACATTTTGCGCTTTTTATGTATCTTCTTCACAGCAACCTCTGACTTTTTCGTGTTTTTACCAAAATGTCTCATGAAATTAAATACTGTATTAAGTACTGAAATTGAATAGGGGCAAGCCTTTGTGGGTCGCCATAATTTTCCAAGGCTAAAGTGAGTATGATGCTTTACGCAAACTTTCATATCTTTTGCTATGAAACTTTATTAAATGTAGTTAAATAATTATAGAGATGTCCTCTTGTTCTGCTCATTTTACTCATGCGCTGCTCGATCATTTTTGCTCCTGCCCTGCTCATTTTACTCATGGACTGCTCACAGGGGCACTAGGGGCACCAGGGACACTTTAAAAAAGCCGTCATCATTGAAAACAATCGATATTAAGAATGAAACCAAGGGGCATTAGAGGAACTTTTATTTCCCGCTGTTTAAACAAATAACATTTGACAGAGGAGATTAACCTTGTCAACCCAACCTTGTTCTAAAAATAGTCCACAGCCTCATTAATTCAAAACACTTTTTTTTTCCTTCAAATCTTACTTTGAACAAGAGCTCTTTAATATTATGTTCATGTAATACATTTCTCACAATTCCCTGGTTGGGGTTTTTGTCATTCTGAAGAAGGGAAAAATAAGTAAATAAAAAAGTAGGCCTATTCTTAATTCTTGTAGAGTTAACTGATGCGTTTCATCGCTAAGGTCTTGTGAGTGAATCGCATAAAACCTTGATTGGACACGTAAACCAATCCTACTTTACAAATTAATCAGATTTTAGATAGATTTTAGCGTGCAAATATCTATAAATAGGTGAAATGTTTTAGAATACATAACATCACATGTCCTGAACTGCAAGAATAAACTACCTTGAAGTTGAGCTGGGTGATTAATATACATAATGCTTAAATGGAAATTTGCTGATTGACAGATTTGATCATGGATGATAAGCTTGAAAGGAACACACTTGAGTAGAAAATAAATATTGATCTAAGTTTCTCAAGCAGCGAGCAAAAAAGCTAACAAAAGGCGCTATTCATTCAAAAACGTTTCCAAAAATTCTCTTTTTTTTCCAAAATTGACGAAAAGAAACTTGAGCTTCTTTCGTAAGATGACCTCGAAATGTAGCCTGTTGTACAGAATCGATATGTCGTACATCACAGACGATGAAGCGTGAAATTATGTCATGCACTGTTGAGACTGAACTGGACTTTCATTAACATGCATCAAGAACAAATTTTCGGAAAGTAGAAGACTGCTTTAATCAACCCATGTGCAAGAAGAATAGATCTAGGAGGKGGAAAGGAAATTTGAATGCCGACTATCAAGGGAACGTAACGAGCTCAATAAAACACATTGGTAAGTTATCGTACTCATGGAGACTTTAGCTTTTTTTTACTTTAAGTGAGCGGCCAAATTATTTATATATTTATATATCTTTGGTTAGTTGTTTGATGGTATTAATATGATAGAGAAATGTTCGGGATACCATGTGTTTATAAACCTCTTTCTGTTAGGAATTTAGCCATCGCGTACCTAATGAAAAGGTCTTTCTCGCTTAATCTCCTAATCATTGTGTGAAGTGTTGATTACGATCCCGGCTGTTGCCTAACCATTAGGAGATTCTTGCTTTGGTACCTGGCCGCCAGGACTCTGAGTGGCAAAACCCTAACGATTAGTATCCTGAACCCAAAGGTCGGACTTAAATGTACTGGTTGGAATTATATGGACCGGTGTTTAATGTTTCGCATGTCAACGTTCTTGCAAGTAGGTTTACACAGAATAATCAAAATGAATCTTTTCGATCAAATTCAATTATATCATATAATTAATATTACAGTATGTCTTACCCATAAAAAGATCTGCTACATTAAGCTTCTTAAAATGTCCATAATTGATTGGATCATAAGCAAAGTTTGCCAGGTTTGCTAGAACCTGTTCTTTATTTCCTGTAGCAAATAAACAATATTGAGAGTCAAACAAAAAAGTTGACAAAATACTAGTTTAATTGTCTGCATTGTAGAAAACTAGTATACACAGACTCAAAGGAATGACTATGACAATATCAAAATTCCCATTTTTCCAAATTAATTGAGTCTAAATGACTTTTTATTACTCTTAGGCTGCATTCATAATGCATGGCAGAGGGAGGCTGGTGAAATTGAGGGGGGATCAGGAAAATTTTGGTAGGAAAAAGGGGGTATGGGCAAATTTTTTATCAGGAAAATAGGGGGGATGCAAAATGTTTGGAAGAAGCTACAAGCTTTGCTTAGGGGGGATCGTAGTTTTTTGCATGACTTTAAGAAGGGCCGTTGAGAATTATTCTGGACATTATTCTGACATTATTCTATTCTGGAATTATTCTGCTTTCATTGTACTGATATAATAGAAGATGAAAGACACTAACTAATTAAATGTCCTCTATACTCTAAACTTAGAGAAGAATTTCTTATGCAAAATAACATAAGTAACTCCCTTACGGAGGACCAATTTTTCCTGAAGTTGATAGATCCTCCCCATATTTTACAATCAGCTGCAGCAAAATACTTTTACAATTGTTTTGCTCTGTGTAGTGAAAAAAAGCAACAACAACAAAACAAACAAAAATCAATACTTGTATGATATTGCATAAAGATGATTAGGATTAGTAACGCATTTTATCGAAATAATTATATGAACATTTATATATACAGAATATATATGTACGTATGACGTGTATGTGTGGAATATGTGAATATAGATATTATGCACATACATAAACATACGTATATATTCATAACTAATTTGGATCTAAGTTGATGKGCAACTTTGTACAAAACGCCAAATAAAATATGTCTGTCTGTCTGTCATTTCAAATTTTC